ACTGTATCACAATTATCTCCCAAAAAGTGGGGAACTCTTTGTCGTCCTTTGTTATTAACTTTAATTTTATTAGGCACCTCTTCAGAATCTTTGGACCCCATCATCTTTTTTATTTTGCGTAAACATAATGAGTGTTGTGTTACGGTCGAAGCATATATCTTCAAAAGCATATAATTAACACAGGAATCATTTCGTTCAGTTTTTAAGTTCAAATACATTTCAGTTTTTTATGCAAGATGCCTAATAATGGTAACATCAAATGTACCTTGTCAAAAGGATGAGTGTCCTTTTCAGTCAAAGATTTGCCCTGATTACCTATTAGCTCTTTTTTAGATATCACTAATTATATGCACATGCTTTAAATATACTTTTACCGTTTTACCTCCAGCCTCTTTACCCCCCTTATTGAGCAAAAGTGGCGGAAAAAAAAATAAAAAAAATTCTTTCACAAAGATTTTGTATCGTTAAATGAAAATTGTTTTAGAATGGGATTCTCTAAAAATAATTTCCATGCTTATCAAGTATGGTAATGATGCGAAGAGACCTTATTTGTTGATCACAATTCTGGATTATTTCTCAAAGGATTGATAAGCAGTTGTGCAGATTAACTTGTGACAAAGAAACCATCTTAGCCAACCGCTGAAACTGACAAGTAGACGCTCATCAATAGTTTCGACACCCCGAGATTACCGAAATGGGTATAATTTTACTCAACAAATCTTTTTTCATATTCAGGATAAAAAATCGGACTCCTGTCAGCATATTTAAGAGATCCAACTATTTACCAATTATACTAGACTTTGTTGATTCATCAATAGTTTTTATATTTCTCTGTGAAAACCCAACTCATGCAACAGATCAAGTTGATAAGTGAATGTTCAATTAATAATTTTATATATTATATTTATATCATATTTCTCTAATATATTTTTTCACGTAAGAACTTCTCAGGCTTGAAGTGTTAATATTGTATTCGTTTATTTTTTATTTTATTTTATGGGTTTGTTTTTTTTTGCAATTACTACAGATAAGTTATCTGCAGTAAGCTCAATACGACGTCATTTTGGAGCGAAAATTATGGTATTTTGTAATTTTAACTTATTTCAGGGTTATTATAGTCTTTATAATTATAATTTTTTAATATTTCAATTTCAAAACGGCGTCATTTTTGGACTAAATGCAAATACCTTATTTGCAGTAAGTACAAAAATATTTTTCTATAATTTAATTCCAATAGAAATGAAGAAAATCAATAATTCGTGATCCATAGTAAGATAAACTCAAATACCATAATAAAAAAGCTCGTGAATTAAAGGTGAATCAATAATTTTTATATTTTTCTAACAATTTCTAACGAAACTGTGAAGGAGCACTTCTCCTTCTTGAGAAAAAGGAACAGTGAGAAATTTTCGAATCACAATTAAAATTAATTTTTTAAAATGTTATAACTCAAATAAATAATAATAATTCGGTTCAAGGGACTAAGCTGGAGAACTTGTCGATCAGGTAATAGCAAACTAGGCTAAATAACTGATCGGTTTGTTTATTTGCACACCTGCTTCATTTTGACACTTTGAGAAAAAATAGAGTAAGTTAGATTGCATATTGTTTTCTTTTATTTCAAGAAAAAATATTATAAGGATCGATAACGTAATAAAAATAGTGTGTAAACAATATTAGGATTTTGCTAATTCGGACCATAAAGTGTTTGTTAAGGAGTTAAAAATAGTAAATATATTAAATAAAAGACATAATTCGATGAATATTAAAATTTTAAAATGCATTGATTATTTTTTTCAAAATAATTAGAAGCATATGATGTATTAAATAATCATGAACTAATGTTCTTAAGGATAGTCATTAATTAAACTCGTTATATTACTTAAATTAGGATAATAAATATTTAGAATTTTTTGTTCCATTTTACTTACACATGTACTTGTTAAAAAATAACTATTTAAAATATATTTATTTCATATTATTATCTAAAAAATAATACAAGTATAGAATAAAATAATATATAAATACCATTGTCAACAAAATTATCAGCCCGCAATAATTTTATCATCCGATTCAAAATTTATATGACCACAAGTCCACAGCAAAACCATCTTAAAAAAACTATGGCGGTTCTAGTTAGCCTCAATTATCATAACTGGATCATGATATGTGGTAAATAGATATAGGAAAATATTTTTCTGTATTCCGTAATATTAAAGACTCAATATATTATTTATCAAAGTTGAAATAAAATAATTCATCATCCTTTTATAATTTTAGGGTTAATATGATAAAGCTAATAATATATATTATATTTAGGCATACTAAAAATACGTTATAGAGGAAAATATTTTCAGACATACCAAGATAGAGAGGGTGTAGAAAAGGAGATTTTTTTTTTAGTATAACAGATATATGTACATTATTTTTCCAAAAAATAAAATAAAATTTCTTCCCATTTAATTCATATTTTTTTAAGAAAAATTCATCAAATTTCAAATTTTTATTTTTTTAACTAATGTACGGCACATCTGATGCACCAAAAATTCACTCGTAGAAAAGGTAACGTTAACCAATCAAATATAGTCACATGGCAAAATGTAATGTCTCGGGAAAAATTAGTGACTGAAATCTACAATTATGAGTGAATTTTGGGTGCAGCAGATGTAAGTAAGTATATCCTACCTAAAAAAAAAAAATTTAGGACGTATATGAAAATATAAATTAAAAACTGGATTTAAAGGGGAGAAAATTTTCCACTTTTAGAAAAAAATGTACCAAGTGGGTACATCTGCTATGCCTAAGAAATTTCTTTACAAACACATCTAAATTTTGTTATATTAAAATTTTACATGATTCAGTCATTTTACAATGAAATAAAATAAAAATGTAAATTTTTTGAGTAGTCTGTCTCCTTTCAAGTATGAAATCACTTAAATTGAATTCTTATTATTAATTATTTATTATTTTTAAAGAAAGAAATATCCTGGAATTCATAATAGATTTCCTTATCTATATATCATTCTCTCGTGTTTAGATGCTAATAGGGGTGAAAGTGGGCTGAGCTGGGCCAAACTTTTTCCCAAAAAGCCTAAGCCTATGCCAATTTTTTTTAATTTGGCCTAACTCAAGCCTAGTAGAGTCTAACTGTTAGCCTGACTTGACTCGTTTATACAAAAATAAATGGTCTGGTCTAGCCCATTAGCCTGTTAATTTTTAATTTCCAAGCAGAACAATGAATCAACTTCACAAAATACTCAAATTCTGTTGCTAAACCAAAAATCACAATTTTAACGCCTAAACAGAATCAAGAATCACAACAAAACTCATCACAATATGCATTTAAGTCACTTTCAAAAGCAAAATGCTCAAACTAAATAACATATATTTCATGAGATCCAACAAACAAATCCATACTATGTAAATTAAAATAACTACATGAATCCAATAAACACATCATAATGCTTGTAATAGATATAACCTCTCTTAAAAACCTTTTAATATATTCATATATACAATTTAACATGTTGAGATGTTGGTTCCTCCTACATAAGAAATAAAGTCAGATTTATATTAAATAATAATCGAATATAATTAAGTTATAAATATTTGTAATTGATTAAATTTATATCTTTTATTTTTTCTTCAAGGCATACTTATTCTATTTTATTTAAAATAAATAGTATAATATAGGTCGACATGTAGGCTTATAGGTCAGGCCTTGTGAAAGTGGGCCTATGCTCTATTTATTAAACAAGTTTTTTCAAGATTCAAGCCCGGCCTATTTTACGAAATATATTAGGTAAGATATGGCCTAACGTAGGTCGAGCCGTAGGCCCCTATAGGCCGGCTCGGCCCAGTTTCACCCCTAGTTGCTAACATTGAGTTTGGAACCCTAAGCGAACTACCAATGATAAGCTAGAGGAAGATGAGTGAATATCCTGGAATTCATAAGAAATTTCCTTGTCTATATATCATTCCTTCGTGTTTAGTTGCTAACATTAGTTTGGAATCCTAAACAAACTACCAATGATAAGTTGGAGAAAGACGAGGATGACGTCAACTCATCATGCCCTTATGTCCTGGACAACTCACGTGCTACAATGGCTGGAACAAAGAATTAATGAATATTCTGAAATTCATAAGAGATTTCCTTATCTATATATCATTTCTTCGTATTTAGTTGCTAACATTAGTTTGGAATTCTAAACAAACTGCGAATGATAAGTTGGAGGAAGAAGAGAATCACATCAAGTCATCATGCCTTGGTCAACACAAGTGTTACAATGACCGAGACAGAGTCAATGAATAAAATTTTTATATGTATGTCTCTGTTCATATTCACATGCGTTAAGTAGATGAGTTTCAATTTTTATTAGCGAAGAGTGAAATAGACAATTTTGTTTTACATAAAAAGTCATGTAAAATTTATTTTGACATGAGGATCCATTTATCACAATCAGAAACACTCACCTTAACTTTATCAAATCCTTTACACTGTATCGGTCCTCTCCCTTCTCACTCCACATCACAGGTGTCCTAATTCCTAGTCTCATATACACGCACAGATACTCACAACTCTATCTCACTCTTTTGCTTTGTTCCTTTTCCCCAGGTTTTCTTGGAAAAGAAAAATAAGGTCTGGCCTTTTTGCAGGTGCCGTAATAACCCTACCTTTTCCTCCTTTTACTCATCAAACCATCTCCCTCATTTCCTCACTCTCTCTTTTAGTATCAAGATACAAAACACACACGCACAATCACTGTATCAAAACACACGCTTCAAAAACTCCTTTCTCGTAAGAACAATTTTTTATATTTATATTGCCTTTAGATTCTTCAAAGTTTTTTAAACAAATTATGCTGTCAATAGTCTCAAAAGAAGCCTTCATACGTTGCACTGTATATTAGATCCTTTTTTTGTTGATGTTCCTCAAGTTTTTTAATTAGATCCTTATAGATCATTGACTCAGAAAAAATTTCAGACCAGTCCAGCAAGTGATGGAAGATATTTACAAGTTGAACTCTCTTCTATCTTCTCCTGATGATGTTGTTAACGTTTCTGCTACTACTCCTGTGGCTAATAACTACCTTCAGCTGAAAGAGCCCGAACCGAATGTAACCGGGTCAGATATGTCGGATCGGCTTATCAAGACCCAGATCGCCACTCATCCACTTTATCCAAATCTACTATCTGCTTACATAGAATGCCACAAGGTTATACCCTACTTAACGCAGTGCCATCAATTCATATTACTTATTATACTCCTAGCTAGTTGATCTCTTTTTACTCTATCCATATACATGAAGTTTATGTGTTTCTAATAGAGTACTAAGAAAAGAAGCAAATAAATCATTTCTTTAAATATGAATACTTAATGGAAGTACCATGTATTGTATATATCCGAAGGTTGGAGCACCACCAGAACTGGCGTCTTTTCTTGAAGAAATAGGCTGTGAAACCCACCCCACGGATGCTCTTCGTGATTTAGGAGATGATCCTGAGCTTGACGAGTTCATGGTATATATAAGTTTTTTTTCTTTCTCAAACCCATTTTTTCTTTCTTTCTTATGTAGTCATATCTTTGCTTAAATTTAATCGAATTGATAGACTTGTGTGTATATAGTTTGTGAATGAAGATTTGAATTGTTTTTGCTGTAACACATGAATTAGGAATCATACTGCCAAGTTCTTCATAGATACAAAGAGGAGTTGTCCAAGCCCTTCAACGAAGCAACCTTGTTTTTGTGCAATATCGAAACACAACTCAACAACCTTTGTAGCGGAACACTAAGAGTGTCATCGGGTAAAAACTTGATTTTACAATTCAGCATTCTTGTTTATTCCTATTATGTAAACTGCAAAGCTTGACTCATTGTGTAAAAAAAATGGTTTTGGAATGTGTAAAAAACTGGATATGGACCTGTTCCTCTCTTTCTTTATTATTATTATTGTATTGATATTTTGTTTTTTTTGGTGAGTAATATTTTGTTTTTAGTTGAATATGAATGGTCCTCTTCGATCTGTACGTACAAGATGGACACGATTTTGTATTGCTTAATTAAATCTTTACTTCGAGGCCCACGTCACGACCATCTGACTGTGCTTGATTGAACGTTCCAAAAATAAATAATTTATGAGATTGTTGTTTCGTAAATCTTTTTTTTCCTTTTTTTCCTTTTTGCCTTTTATTGGTTATGTGTGGTGTGTCTCCACACACATGCAACTGCACATTATAAAAAAAAAAAAAAATAGTGAGGTACTTGTTTAGGAAATGATGAAATATTCGTATTCTTTAATTAATAAAATTTAGAATTTTTTGGTAGAATCTAACGTGTCTTAGCAGTTGTCTATTGTTTGAGTTTCAGTCTCTAGCTAGCTTTTGTTGACACCTTGGATTCAGTAAACACTATATATAGATAATTCAATGTCTCAAAACATATATATGTCCCAGTGGTTTCAAAATGCCATCTTTATGTGATTATGTTAGTGACCCTAGTATTGAGTGCATATATATATTTAAGCATTAGATCAGGAAGTATTGTATAATTTATTGTTATTTTGTTACTTGTAAACTGTAATGATGATGCAATTGTATAGATTTGAACTAGATATCTATATGGATAAGCTAATATGCTGCAAATCAGAGTTAAATTTTGTTAGTAAGTAGTTTTCAACATTAGATCAGGAATTTCTAATTGCTCTAAATACACCCTTTCCCAGTTGTTATCAATTATCATTTATCTCAGCTACATATTTGATATATAAACCATTTAATGGTCAAAGCTACGTCCTAGGTTAAAGTCATGTAGTAGTACAATAACATGCTAATTACAGATATTGAGGTGATATAATAGTTCTCTATATATAGTTTCATTTCCATGTCGAAGCTGCATTATCTTTTCAATTTTAATATTGAATTTCCGTAGAATAGAAGTTGATTTATTGGTTTCTGGCCGGAGTCATGACTTAAAGTAATGAAATGGAAGAGTTTATGCTTCATGTTGATGGTGACAATATTTTGTCATACTTGTGCCTTCTTGAAAATATAAAGTGATGTTTATTACATCTTGTTTCTATATGGAGAAGTAGTATATATTTATGAAAGAGGCAATCAGCATTTTGCTTTTCGTACGTGAAAGTGAAAAAGAGTCATGTTGGATCTTTGCTATAAATGATAAGAGTCAGTCCCAAGTAGAAAATATTGGAGTGGGGGACCATTTTAATCTAATACATAAAGAAATGAAAAAAATAAAATAAAAATGCAAGGCTTCCTAACTTTGGCTTATAATAATTGGTGTATAATTTCCTCTACTACCACTCAATGATTGTAGCTAAATTTTAGACAGTGCAAGCTTTGGCTTTTCACCAACAATGTTCTTCCCCTCTCCCACTGCCCCTCCTATTTGTGGCAATGCAAAATTTACCATTATGAACATACTATAACTTTCCACCCAATTAATTAATTAGCCCCCAGAAAACTAAATAATCTACGCATATATTGCTTTTGACAAATGCTGAAATTAATCGCGAGTTAGTCCCTTGTTTTTTCATTTTATCCTTTTGTTCTGTGCTCACATTCAAGAAAAAGTGAGAAAGTAATTCTAATTGACATGCAGTTTTGTTCAAGCATTCATTATCTGTTCAAAATTTAAATCGTTTGTGTCTTGGAATGTTGAGAGCCCTTGTAGTATTTTTTTTGTTGGAAGCATTTTTGATTCCCTTGTTGTTTTGCATTCTTGTCAGATGAGGCAGCTGGGACTTCAGAGGATGAATTAAATTGTGAGAAGGTGGAAGCAGTTGAAGGTTATGAATCTTCTGGCACGCGTCCATGTGATCAAGAGCTTAAAGAAATGCTCCTTCGTAAGTATAGTGGTTATCTTAGCAGCTTGAGAAAGGAGTTTCTAAAGAAAAGGAAAAAGGGTAAGCTCCCAAAGGATGCAAGGATGGCACTTATGGACTGGTGGAACACCCACTATAGGTGGCCTTACCCTACGGTAATTGAAATTTATATCATAACTTACGTTAATATAGCATTTTTTTATTTTGGATATATGCATTGGTTCATCGATTACCGGATCAATCCGATTCGAGCACTGTAGGATCCATAGGGACGATTCTCCCAACATCATTTTCTCAATTCATATGGACTCAAAATCGAGATCTTTGGTTAAAGGGATTAAGCTCCTTACCACTCGAACTAATGATTGTTGGTAAATGATTACATTAAAGGTTTTATAAAAATTACGTTAATATAGAGACTCGTTTTCCGTGTCTATTTTTTTTTTTTTGCTTCATAAATTGCAGGCCATGCAAAATGTTGTATCTGCAAGGAACTTTCCCTTTTTCCTGTTGCAGGACAAACCAAAACCCCTTGCATTAATATAGCATTTGTATGTGGTCTGATTTAAATATGCCAAAACCATGCTGCTAGAGTCCTGAAAAATTAAAAATTGATGATTTTGGTCACCTTAGATTTGTATATCATAGTGATAGTGATTTTCCTATTATTTAGGTTTAAGATAATCAATGACTAGAGTATATAGTTGCAGAAAATGAGGATGAAATGATGTGTTTTGGGGAAAGAAGCATATGATAGAGGCTTGTGCAGTACTTTATACTTTGCTCATCTGAACCATTTCGTTTTGTTTAGCTCAAGCCAATTTATTAACCAAGAATGGTTCTATTTTGAGTGAGTGGATCTTCTCATGTGAAAAAAGTGGTCATGTGGTCATATTATTTGATCACAATTACTTATTGATGATGAGATAAGAGAGAGAAAAGTGTATAATCTTTAAATGAGTGGTTATGATCAAATAATATGACTATATGATCACTTTTTCATATAAGAGCCACTTCCATTTTGAGTTTGAGTAAACAATGACAAATTTAAACAACAAAAGCCTTGAAACTATAATCTATTGTCAGGAAGAGGAGAAATTCAAACTATCAGAAATGACTGGACTTGATCAAAAGCAGATCAATAATTGGTTCATCAATCAGAGGAAACGGCATTGGAAACCGTTTGAAGATAAACGATTTGCCATTGTGGAGGGTTTAAGTGGCGGCAGCGACATAGGAGGACCTATGTATTAATTCTGCTAGAGTGATGATGTATAGTACGTTATATTCACGAGATGTTAATTTTTGGAACCTACACCTATATGCTATGTAGGTCACTTAGCGTATATTATTAAATGTAAAAATTGTATAGCTAATACAGAAGTGATCTGTGTCATCTATCAATGTTCTTGAATCTCGTTATTTTATGACAAATAACATGAGTGAGAGAGAGAGAGAGAGATGTATTTAACGTCAGGAATTGCAAATTTGATCTTGCATATTTTGATATGTGAAATTGATTTTGATTAAAAATAGGTTTAGCTTGAAGGTTATTTTTATGTGAATAGTAAATACCCTTTTCGGTCTTCAGTAAATTTTACGATGTCCGCTTTAGTCCATAGTAAATAAAAAGGTTATTCGTGGTCTTTAAGAAATTTAAAGTGGACTTATTTTAGTCTTTTTGAGGGATTAATATGGGTCTTTTTTGAATTTATGGAGAACCACAATTTCAACTAAATGCGTCCATTTTGAATTTCTTAAGAATCACAAATAATTTTTTTATTTGTTAGGGACTAAAGCGAGTATCGTAAAATTTGATGAAGACCAAAAAAAATATTTACTCGTATCTTTATTTGAAAAGTAATTTTGACATAACTAATGTTGTTTGCATAATTTTGATCAATTTTGTCTCTGTGGGTTCCTTTTTCCTTTTTTAAAATTGAATTGAGTTGAGATCTTAGTTGGATATTTGGGTCTCCTTCCCATGGTACTATTTTTTAGATAGCTGTGGCTACAAATTAAAGGCGTACGTGGGGGAATGATTTACTCGTAAAATCTTTCTGACATTCGAGAAAGATGTAAATATTGGAGTAAAAGTTGTGTATATGGACAATGTGTGCTGTTCTTTGTATAGTGTTAATTTGGGATAGTTCTATTTAAATTGTGTGAAATATCTTATAGCAAGATGTGGGAATATGTTACTAGAGAGATGTGGGACATGAACTTGGAGATATAAGATTTTGACGTACGGGAGTTGAGATTCTCGTAATTCAGGTGAATCTAGATTCTTATATAGTTACTGGATATTAAGCCCAAGTTTGTGTTATATTTTACAAGATTAAAAGTATTTTTAGATGTCTTGTTTTACTTATGAACAATTTTTAGATTATAAAATATTTACAATATTTTGATTATAATTTATCTATATTAAAAATATAATTATATTATATTAAATATAAAATGCATATTTATAAATATAATTTTTAAAATAGATATTGGAAAGATAACTTAATTGTCATATGAAAAATCTCCACCATTAACTGCACAATTTTAATAACAAACCTTATAGAATAGAAAAGAGAAAAATAATTATTTGAATCGCTGGTCAATTTATTTATGAATTATTGAAATTTTCCAAATAATATGATCATATTAAAAAGAGATATAGAATTCATTCCCATGATTGACGCATATAAAGGAACACGAATAAAATAAAAGAGTGCAATACAAGTGGTTAAATTTTGGGTGTTTAATTTTAATAATCAATGCAAAGGATTACAAATTTTGTGATAACTGTCATTTAATAAAATGAAAAATCTATTGCAATACATTCTGTGTTGCATCGCATTCATACAGAGAAAAGAAAATGACACCAGTTAGCGGATTAGAGCTGAGCAGGTGAAAGGTGAGAATATATGTTCGATCTTTCTCAAAATTATATTTGAGAGTGATTGAGAACATATGTTCGATCTTTCTCAAAACTATATTTGAGAGTGGTTTAAAGTCTTAATTTTAGACTCACTCCAAAAATTATTTTTCGTGAAGGATACTTGTGATTTATTAAAAAAAATGACGAGAAAAAGAGGCCATCTGATTGTGTTCTGCTTTGTTCTTGAAATTATTTTATAGAGTGCTAATGAAATAAGAGTTTCCTTTTTTGAAAGCAAAAAGTTAAAATATAAAACAGAAATAATTAAAACATGTTCTTTAAATTTGATTTTAAAAATTAAAAAGTAGATATAATTTTTAAAATTATTTTTATAATAAATATATTATCAAATAGATTTTTAAAAAAAAAATAAAAATAAAAATTATTTTTAAAAACAGAATTTAAACAAAATTAAAGGCTATATTATTTTTTCTCTTTTCGAAACAAATGTGTAATATGATTTAACAGGCTATGTTGTATCGACACCGACACAAGACATGACATGATTCTCCGACACATTAATTCTAAAAAATATTAGATTTAAATACATTATAACACGTTTTGATATTAAATAATATTTTTAATATATATAATATATTTTACATTTAATACATATTATAGCCCATAATAAGTCATATAATCCAATCAAATATTCAAATTTCATAACATAAATATAAAGCAAAAATAAGACACTAGAATTGGTCTAGTAGTGAGAGATTTGGATAGATTGTATTAGGTTATGTGTTCAATCCCCATCAATGTATAAAAAAAAATATAAAGCAAAAGTAATAGAATATCTATAGAGTGTAGAGTGTAGACTACTCACAAGTTCAATTATTTTCATCTCATCCATCGTGAAGAATCGTGGACTCTCTTTGGCTCATCAAGTTGTCAACATTAACTCTAGGTTGATCATCTCAAGCCCAGAACAATAAAAACACTATCAACCACAATGAACTATCATAGCAGCCTTATAAAACCTCACATACACCAAAATTATAAGCAATATGTAGGCAATTTGCGAACTAACACAAATTAAGATAAATGAAATCTTCACGGAAAAAGTAATACCTACAACTAGTAAGACCACAAAATATAATAGTATGCTCAATAGGCAAGACGGAAAATAAGAAATGAAAATTGAGTGGAATGGAAGATTTTAATTTTCGCTTGGTTGTTGCTTGTTAGGCGGTGGAAATGGTTGAACAATTGAAAATTTACTTTCAGATCCATTTTTTAATATTAATGAGAAACTAAGATTTTGAGGTTAGAGTGAAAATGTGTTGCACTCCATTTTTCAACACCCCACAATTTAATTGATACAAGCAAAAAAAAATCTTTATTTTTCCCCAAAACTTTTCACTACCTATTTTCTACCTACCTATTTTTAGCTGATCCAAGCATGCCCTAAGGCAAGGATATCAATTCCTTCGTAGGTACAAATATATGAATTCCAAAAGAAAAAATTTCAACTTATAAATAATAATATTCACAAAACCCCACATTGTTCAAGGCCTTATTTATGAATTCCCCAACATAGCCCTCGTTACCCACTTCAAATAGAAGTAAAAAAGGGATGAGAGAGAGAGAGAGATTAGATCAGATGAGAGAGAAAAATAGATCATAACACTTACTAGTTACCAGTAGGAACCGACAACAGAGCAACGGTAGACAACAACGATGGCAGACGGCTGAAAAGGCAAAGCGAAGGAGGAAGAAAGAGAGCAGTGTCGGGAACGCAATGGGTATGGTGAAGGATTTTTTAAAGGCTTTATTAAATATTTTTTATTTTTTAAAACTATAATTTATTTATATATTTAAACTTTTAAATTAAATTTTTTACGAAAATGTCATTTGACTGTGTCAGAATGGTCAACTGTCCCAAAAAATTGATCGCGCATGAAAATCTATCAGTGTCAGACATGTATTTTTGAGGAAAATTGATGTGTCGTGCTTCCAGTTCCAGATAACAAGTAATGAAATTTTGAAATTTTACATTCTCTTTTTAAATGTTTTTTTTAATGTTTATACTATTTTATAAATAAACTAAACTGCAATTTTTTCATTGTATTGTCCCTTATTATTTTTATTGTATTATCCCTTTTTTTTTTATAAAATTAAACAAACCATTAACAAAATACAAAGTGCCCGAAAGAAAGACTTAAAAAACTGAATGGTGGAGAAGTACTTGGTTTTTAAAAGTAATTAGTCAAACTAGTTCGTGAAAGATACATTTTTGGTTATATTAGAGGGAAAGACAAGTTTCAGTTGATTTGTTCTCTCACGCGGCAGAAACAATAAATGTGATTTTTTTTTTTTTGTTAAAAAAGGGACATGCGAGATTTTCGAGAGGTGTACAAGAGATATGTTTTTCCCCTGTTGACCGACGAAATACGAAATGCACATTTAGGAACCTTAGACATAATTTATTTCATTCAGAATATAATATAGGGATATGCTTTTCTCCAAATTAGATCGTGAATGATAGAAACTCTGGGATCTATAAGCTCACTATGTTTTCTTTAGAGATGGAGTCACTGTATAGGTGATACCTCTAGCGAAGGTAAAGACCAGGCTAAAAATATCGTTCCAAGTATTAAGCAAGCTAATAACAATGGAAGATTCGGTGTGTGTACATGATGTTCTTTCTTTGTGTGTCAAGGGGGCTATTTATAGGGGAAGGTGCTATGAACCTTCTGAGGGTTGGTGAGGAGAGGGTCAACTTTCCTTGGGATATGCCAGGAGTGGCAGACGATAGACGGTGCTGGGCGTGGCAGGCGCTGCTATGATAGCAGTGGCGCCCCCCAGCAGTGTCAGTGTGTAACAAAAGATAGTTTCCTCTTGTGACAACTGGGGCGATCATCTTTGGGGTTGGAGTCCCAAGATAGAACATTTTCGTGTTTCCCCTAGGGAGTGTCGTCGCTTTGGGGGTTGGAGAGCTGACGGTTGGTAGAGCTGACGTGTTCTTGGGCCTATCCAGAAGAGAAACTATGCCACAGTTGTCTAAATGTGACTTTTGCCCGTCAAATTACTTCCTAAATGCATATGTTGTCAGTTAATTTAATTCTTCATGTCCTTGACATGGAGCATCAATTAATTTGACTAAAAATTAAACATTCAACCACCTCGAGCATATATTTCATCATTTAGTTTTTTTTTTTTGGTTATATAATTGGTTTCAAGAAGGGAGCGAACCGAAACAGTGGTAAAATTATTTTTTCATGACTGAAAGGTCATGAGTTTGAATCCAGGAAACAGTCTTTTTTTAATCCAAGAGTGATTTTTTTTTTTATATAACTGGCTTCAAGCCAGTTCATACAGAACC